ATGAATTTTGGTTTTACATTTTTTCCCCTGTAAGAGGTTTTTATTTAATAGAATTTTTGGACAAAAAAAATTGCAATATATCGCAATATATCGCCTTGCTTATAGTATCGCAATATATCGGGATATATCGTATCGTGACCCCTCTGTCATGGTATGTATCATATCGCCAAATTCTTGCCAATACACAGCCCTACATAATACTGACTCTTTTTTTTCACTATGAACAGAAGTCAGTTTAATAACCTGCATGAAGCGTGTTCACAAACTTCACTATCAACTCTAATCACTATTTACAGCACAAAATGTGTTGATTTTGTTCCCAGTGTTTAAAAAGCAAATAGTAAAAAGCCCATACCTTTTTATTTGTGTTGGTAGGAACTAATGTTAGTTTACAGGTTTTAAAACAAACGTTTCCTAAATATAAGACCTTAAGTTTAAAATGTTTTAGWTTTTTGCCAACGTACACTTTGAGTAGAACTTTACTTTGATCAAAACCGAGGTCAGGGATCTTGGGTTCAAAAGGTTTGGTGCCCTCTGCTTTGGAAGAATGTTTTATGGGGGCTACACTGTAAGTTGGGATAAATAAGTAGGGATGCACGATATATCGGCATTAATATCGGTATTGGCTGATATTGGTCATTTTTTTAGAATATCAGTATCAGTCCTGCCGTCGCATGATTTACCAAGAATGCAGAAACACGTTGGAATAAATGCACAGAAAGTCTGCGTGTATGGTCATCAAAATGATTTGATTCTGAGCGACAACAAACAGAAGTCAATCAGGAAGTCTGTCGTGTTGTGACTGCCGCGTCAGTGTAGCGCAGCCAATAATATAACATCATGTTAACATCATGTGACATGCTTATAACCAATCACAGATCGACGAATGTAACTGCCCAGCCAATAACAGGGCTCTTAGCCCAAAGAGTTACCTACTCAGACAAGAGAGGTCAGTCTGTTGCTGGAGTGCTGATGTCTGGGCAAACAGATTGACATTGATCATAAGATATATGAGTACAGGACAGCGTCAAGGTGAAACAGATATAGATAATTAGTCCATAACAAGTCTGATATGTAAAACTGGGCCGATATTAAAGTCCGAAATTGATTTCCCACTTTTTAGCTTTGTGTTTCTGTTTTGGGAGGGGAGATGGTTGGTTGAGCGGCATCTGTTTGATCAGGATAATGATATTGATGCTGCGCTGCCAGGAATAACTGAAGTAGGGAGTCATGTCAGAGGTCTGGTCATTTATTTACCGTATCAAAAAAAGACCCAAGTGTGTTTGTGCATATGTGTAATATCGGTAAATGTCGGTTATCGGCCATAACAGCAATAATTATATCAGATATCAATATCGGCTGAAATTTTCAGCCGATATATATATCAGTGCATCCCTATACAGAAGCATGTTCACAAACTTCACTATCGACTCTAATCACTACTGTAAATAAGGTCTGACTTCCAACCTCAAACTCTACTGAAATTAAACCTGTCAGACTGGCTAAGTAAAGCCTGATTTTCAATGCTTTAACAAGATTAGATGTACGCTAAAGATGTTTTATTTCTCAGCTGAGCTGCAGCCAATAATAACAAGCTTTTACAGGCCGACAGTTTGTGGGTTAATCCATAGTTACATAAGGTCAGTCTTAATGACCCTGTGTTTTGCTGCAGGTGATGGGTTTATGGTGCTGGCATCCATTTAGAAGCCAGGCCAAAGCCATTCATAGCAGATGAATTTGTCAACACACACATACACAAACACACAGAGAAGGCCTTTCTGCAATGCAAGGTCCTGCCCAAGCCAGCCTTGCTTCAAACCTGGGTTCAWCGTATTTGCATGAGCCCTTATGGTCTAGTTCCACCTTGATCTTTGGAATAAGCTAACATTAGCTATGCATTACGCACAGTTTCACGTAACGTTGGTTTTGAGACATCCCGACATGTGCGAGGAACCTGGCGCACACAGCTTTTTTTGTGTGTACGCACCATTAATACGAGGCCCCTGGTACACTTTTCCTCCCACAGACCTAAAAACCTGCACGCTTAAATTGCCTTCAGGACCAGTTSTCCTTGTTAAAGAGATCTGAGGTCTCAGTGGGAGTTCACACTTTAATGTGTCGTCTTTCAGAGGACGTCCTGGCCAAGGATGCAGGTGAATGTGCGATCTGCCTGGAGGAGCTGCAGCAGGGAGACACCATCGCCCGCCTCCCCTGCCTCTGCATCTACCATAAAGGGTTGGAAGYTTTTCTTTGCATCCATTGAAGTTTTTTTTTAGTGCTGTGATACTTCTGGTGTTATGAGTTTATAGTTATTGCAGGTACTACATTACCTTTAAACCATATTCACACCTCTTGAACTTTTCCATATTTTGTCACGTTACAACCTCAAACTTTAAAGTGTTTTACTGCTTTCATCAGTATGCAGTATGCGTTTGGTTTAATCTTCATTTTTGGATGATAGATTGAACAGTAGGGGTGGGAATTRTTAGGCATCACATGATTTGATGATTTCATAATCTGACTGCAAACAAACACTTGAGTGGAGAATCCCTCAGACCAGAAGAAACTATTTTGCTGYAAACTGCAGCATTAAACAGTTTTCATTTAGGGAAGATTTAATGACTAAATGAAGTAAAGGATAATAAATGCTGAGTAAAGTGAAAAAGGATTCTGTGGCTGTGGATGTTCATGCATCACGTTAAAGTTTTCCTACCTGCTTTCATCAGTGTTTCATGACTTTGTTTTTTATGCCTGTTGTGGACTTTGGGAATAACTTGTGAGAAAATTTTATTCTAACAAGGCATGGGTCTCTATGAAATTCTGACTGTTGTTTTGAAATTGTTGTTTAAAAACAAAAGCAGAAAATAACTTTTCTATTGTCRTAGTCAACTTTAATTATCTTTGGAGGCTGTTTTTAGATCACAGGTGCAAAGCTGACCTTTAATGCGTGTGTTCATACCCATGTACTCCCTGGAGTGCTGTTTATTTGGTTCATCGATGTTAAGCTTTGGGGGAGACTTAAAATATTTATTTTCCTAAAGTTGAACCCATTTTCTGAAGTTGTAATGAAATGAATTAGAATAGTTTTAGTTTACCAGAGGATCACAGTACCGCTGTGTCAAAATGCTAATGTCTTAGTTAACAACAGTGAGGTTTTAGGTTATTTCCTGAAACATAAATATAAAAGTTTTCATTTGATACATTTGATTGATGTATGAAATGTTTAAAGTATTAATAGACCTTTGAAAATCCTGAAGAAACTTTGCTCCTCTGTTTTCAGCTGTATTGATGAATGGTTTGAGGTGAACAGATCCTGTCCAGAGCATCCTTCAGAATAAAGCWTTGTTTGCACAGGTAAGCCTGATTKATATRTTTTATTAGGAATGTTATCTAGGACTCTGCACAGGCACTTATTACATGTTTAGAGTAAAGTGTTAGTTTATAGGTGGTCTCTMACTGCGCTGTGACTGTTGGAGACCAACAAACCAAACCAAACATCATTTGTAAAGAAAAAGTGTCCAAAATGTCTCAAAACATTTCTGGGTGTTCTCAGTTGGTCTTGACCTTTGAACATGTTTAAAACATTTGCGTGGCCAGTTTTCTCTTAAAGGCGCAGTGTGTAGGATTTATTGTTTTCAGCGACATCTAGTGGCTGTACCATCCTCCCTGGTCCTCCCCCCACCCCCACCCACCGCTTCCAAACGCAAAGGAGTTGCTACGGTGTCTCTCAGGTGTCAAAAACCTTTGATAATTCCAACCGCGATGTCTACCAGCAGCTTCAGAGCTAGTGTTGTTTCAAGTGGTAAGATTATGAGCTTTAATAAGTAAAATTATCCCAGCTACAACGACAGACAACAAATATTACATTTATAGTATTACAACTAAAACCGTTTTGACGCYGCCACCGCAGTTTGTCCTTCATGAGCCTTCGTAAACAAGATGGCGGCTGTCTGTAGTGGCGACCCGCGACCATGGAGATATAAACAGCTTTTTATAAGGTAAAAATAATAAAACAAGGTCGTCTTCAATGATTAGAAATGTTTTTTTTTTATTGTCATTAGTGATTATCTCAATTTCGGCTAAAAGAATTGACAAAATCCTACACACTGTGCCTTTAAACTAGTCAGTCATCACWGGTGTCTCCAGCCCGTCTCAAGAGCACCAGAGCTGTACTTTCTGACCTGCACCAAAACTCCGAACTTTTGTTTACCTTTTAAATTATTTAWTTTGTCGTCTCTGAGTTCGCTGCAACTTGAAAGTAGGACCGATGTTTTAGTTTCAAGTCCAGTAATTTCCAAATMATTTCTTCTCATATATTGCTCCAGATCATCCACCTTTTGCTCCRGTTCAGCTATCTTTTTATCTCTATCACTTTCAACTTCACTTCTTCCATCAATCCCAATCATAAGTTCAAGCAGTGATGCCAACTTTGATAGTTCCTCACTCATAAAGTTCAGAGATTGTTTAATCTCCTCCATATTGTCTGCTGAGTTATTTTCCATCGAATCCACCACTCTACCCTGTCCACATTTACTCGGCATGACTCACCCGGGCCCGGCCTGATGACAAACGGGTCTAGCAACAGGTCCCCCACTTGGGSTCTCTTCGTAGTGTCACAAGGCAGCCGAGGCTCGCAGTTCCTCRTGGTCCTCCCCAATCCAGCAGTTGAGGCCACCAATCACTGCCAAACTCTCACGCCGCTGCCGCTGAAGCTTGAATTTTTCAGGGTTTTTTTTTTTCTCTGTGGGGCTAAACACATGATGGACAGCGTTCGTCGTCGCGTTGAATCAGTTAACTTTGCATTAWATGTTATATCCTCCAATAAGGCTCCATCTGTTTTTGTCAAAGGTATTTTTGGCACAGCTTTGCGTACATRTGGATGTGAGATTTGATAATCATGTGTGGGGTGAACAACGGCATTTTTCACATCTTTAACAGTTTCCTAGAATCACCTCTAAGTGTCGCCACAGAAACGTGCGTACGCCGGACATGAAGTCAGCGTGAGGCTGCGCACATTTTCACGTTCATTTCAGTCTTCRTACATCTGAAGTTTTGAGTGAAAAAGGATGCAAACACCGTTACTACATGAGGCMCCTGGGGAGGAAAAACTGGAGCAAAGAACAGGAGGTTCACCCACAGGAAGCAAAGATTGACTGAAATAATCATAAATCAAAAAAGACTCATCAGTGAATCACCAGAATTGGTTTCAGCCCTGCTCACAAACACTAAGTAATCAATGAGACAGAAATATAAAAAAAGTGTTTTCTTGTAAATTTGAGTGTCCAGCAGTGAGAAAGCACCTCTACATCGGCTCAGTGTATCTAACTGAACTTGTGTTTGATTTTTGATTACAGGGACCCACCATGAGACGGATCTATCTGAGGAGACAGTCAGCACTGTGATCAATAAACTTCATGTCTACCCTTCTCAGATACTGAGCCACTCACTGGTGCCACAGTATGCCAAATCTCATCCAATCAACCTTCAGGGATACAAACAGTTTAATGTTTGAGTTTCACCCGTCGTCCGAGAGAGAGGACACRAGTCCACCTCACATCCTGATTGTACGCTGGGGCGGTGGAGGAGGTGGTCCTGGAGTTCAACATCACCGTCCTCCATTCTCCTACTGCATCAGCACTGATTTGTCCCGGTGCCTTGTAGTGCTGCCCTGCAGGCAGCGGGGCGGCACAGAAACCGTCAGCAGAGGCAGCTGGATCTGCACGAGCATCTCACCATAACTGCCATTCATGCAGACGAGGAGAACTGAGCCAGAGACGGCCTGTCTGCACCAGCAGCAGCAGCAGGCCGACCAACTGTGAAAACTGTCACACATCCAGTCATCAGCACCTTTCAACCACAAACTGTGGACCAGAGGTCTTCAGGAACCACAACGCTCAGCCTCAGCCCTCTGCAGGCTGTTGCTGCTGGAAGGATAAAAACAGCTCGGTTTATTTTCACAGCAAACTTTCCCTCCYGACCCTGGAAGTCCTGTTATAAGATATTTTTCATGTGACAAAACCAACGCAACAGTTCTGAGTCAGGGTCTTTTGTGGGTTAGTGACTCCTGCATGGACACTTTGACAGTCCATCAAATCTGTTCAAAATATTTCCACACACACAAATAATACTGGTTCAAGATAGTAAAATGTGTTTTATTTTTTAATCTCATCAACAACCTCCTCCCCCTTCTAAAGAKTTTGGGTTGTGTTCTCAAACTTTTCAGCTTTTAACACTTCAGTCCACAAAGTCACAAATAAGTGTAATCTGAACTAAACGTAAACAAAACAAAAACTGGCAACACATTTATTTTTGTTTGTGTTTTTTATTTATTTTTGTTTGTG